ATGCTATAGTAATTGGAGTTGGATCAGGGGTTGGACTTGATGATCCTGGAGGTCTTTTCCAACCCAGTCTATTCTATGGTTCATTTGCATACGTGCTCCCGCGCCGCCGCCATATATGGAAGGCAGCCCGCGGCGGGGGCGGGGCCGTCCACCCCGGGCCCCGGTGATGTCACGCCCGGACCTGCTTTGCATGCGAGGCCCCGCCCCTTCACCCTCGCCGCGCTCCCTGCCTCGGCCGCGTGGCCCCGCCTCCCCTCGCGTGCGCGGGGTGACGTCAGCGCGGCGGTGACGCCGGCGCCGCGCGGGGCGGGGCGGGGCGGTGCAGCGCAGGCGCGGAGCGCGGACGGGGCGCGCGCACCCCCGGCCACCCCCGCGCGCCCCCCCCGCGCGCGGCTGAGGCGGCGCCGGCCCGGCCGGACCCGGCCATGGAGGGCATGGACGTGGACCTGGACGCCGAGCTCATGCAGAAGTTCAGCTGCCTCGGCACCACCGACAAGGACGTGCTCATCGGCGAGTTCCAGCGCCTGCTCGGCTTCCAGCTCAGCCCCGCGGGCTGCGCCTTCTTCCTCGACATGACCAACTGGTGCGGGCCGGGGCCGCGGGCGGGGCGGGTGCGGGGCCCCCCGGGGGCTCCGGGGCTGAGGGGCTCCGGGCACGGCCCCCCCGGCCCGGGACCCGCGCGCACAGGCGGTGTTTGTACCGGGCCCGGGGCCGCTCCCGGGGCTCGGGGGGGAGCGGGACGAACCGGGGCGGGCGGCGCTGAGTCCCGACCCCGCTCGGGGTGCGGCCGTGCCCGTTCGCCCCTCCGAGGGCCGCGGGGCTGTTGGAGGGTGACGAAGCGACCCGCGGGCCAGTGACGGGGGAGCCGGGGCAGGCCGGGGCCCCGCGACACCGAACCGGCCTCAGGGCAGGGGGAGTTGCGGCAGGAAGGCGCTCGGGGGGCCCGGGAGCGCCCGCCGTGCACGGGTGAAAGTCACCGGGGGTTCGGGGAAAACTCGGTGTCTGCTGCGGGCTGAGGGCTTCGAAACCCGCTGACTTTCGGTATGTTTGGCTTTATAAAGGCTCCGTTTCACTACCAGGGGAAAAAGCAGGCGCAGGTTATCGGGAAGCTGCGGCTCTAGAAAAACGTGTGGAGTCCTCAATATAATGGTGAAAAACAAAAACCAGGAGTGTTTTC